GAACCTTCATGGAACCCACATAGAGAATTCTTTTCCGCCGCATGTACTTCGAACTACAGTTGTCACTTTGTCGCACATGTCTTTTGTAAGGTTAACGTCTGTTTTCGACAGCAGCTTCTATCGCATGCTCCATCAAATTGCCTGTCTCCATATTCGATCAAAAGTTTTCGCTAGGTTTAGGAACACCACGCGAATGTCCTTACCGCTTTCTCGGTATCCTTCGAGGATTGATCCAGAAGCAAAGGTGGCTTCCGTGGTTGATCAACCTGGCATAAAGCTGAAATGGTTTGCGGTCATGTCGGCTTCCATCGTCAGTCTCTTGTCCAGCTCTCCTTCGTATAGCTTCATGTCGTGGCTGAGCTGTTAAATTACCCGATAGTTTTCTCAGGCGAGCATGTTCTCTTTCTTTTTGTGCACTGGCATCAAAATACTCTACCTCTGTGCATCCGGCATCATTTCACAATCCATTATTTCTTAAATAGTGCACAAAACCAAACCACGCTGCCCCAGTGCCTTTTATGCTTGTGTACGAATCTCATTCAGGCCGCCACCGTCCAGTTTTACTTTTCATTAATCTTTCTTTACTCCTCATCTTAATTTTTTTATGATCGCTTCACCTTTCGTGTTGCAGAGTCACAATGCTTCCAACGTTTCCGATCATGTGCAGGAGGAGTCTGAGCTTCGGCTCAAGACAAACGAAGTCTGGAGCAGACTCCTTCCATATATTTGCACCAGGTTAATTTTGGCTGTCCCCTGGGTCTTGTGCCGATCGGTTGGGCAAGCAGTAGTTGCTTCGCTTTCTTTTCTGAAGGCATTCGCAACACATGCCCAAACCGTCGCACATGTAACTTCTCAGTCCGAAGAGTCAGAGGCTCTGCACCAAGGCTTTTCTGATTCTGTACTCTCATGGATTTCTGCAGCCTTGTTCTCACTGACTCCCTGTTGTACCTCTTTTGTCCACCACGAGGTTCGTTTCTGGCCCTCAGATGGCAGGTCAGCCCGTTTTAAACTGCATCATTCGGCCGTGGTAGACCGCTTTCAAACAATTTCCACTCATTTATGTCAACACAGGATCGGCTGTAGCCGTCGCGTGATGTTTGCAAGTTTTCGCTCTCGTGTCCGCCGAAGATAATGTTTCCCATTTGATTCTCTGGTTGTTTCTTCCATTTTCTTTGCATGGTCCTCCATTTGTCACAGCGTATTGTGCCAACAAGGTGGTGATCGGTTGATAGGTATATGCCTCTTTTAATGCGAACATCCATTGCAGGGCGCCGTTAAAT